CCGGGACCTTGCAATTTACAAATTAAGCACTGGGTTTGACTGAAATAATAATGCAAAAACTGACAATTTAAGTCACAACAACAGCAACAAAACAACTAAGCAAAAACAGATAAAGACAAAATGTAGTCATTGATAATATCTAAACATGTATCCAAATCCAAATGCAATAAAATTAATTTATGTGTGATGACAATTTCTTAGCAACTAGGGATTGCACAAACCTGTTTATATATATTTTGCGTAGGGCTATACAGGCATCTAGTGGATACACAATGGTATTACAGATGATAAATGGTGCAAAATATACAGTATATCTTAACAGTCAATTTACAAATAATGCATTCAGATTTGTGGAACTCACAATGAGCTGAATCTCCATACATTAGTGTCATTACTATGACAACCAATGTGAATGTGACAAGAAACTGTGAAAATAAATTATATAGAGAGTATATATGGATATACAGTATACAATGGCTAGAAATGGCCCTGGTATAACTTCAGAAACTGACAGCTATATCCAGTGATGCAAACTACTTTACTTTTCTTTCTCAAATATGGCCATTTTGAGAGAGAGCGAGAGAGAGAGAGAGAGAGAGAGAGAGATGAAAGTTGTGTGTGTTAGGGATGGGCAATACCACTTACTGTATTTTGTTTTCGAAACGATACCGATACTTTTAAAGGCCAGTATTGTCGATATCGATACAGATACGATACTTCTAAACTGAACTTTTAATTTTTTGAAAATTATTAAATTACTAAGAGTAAAATGGGTAATGACACCTACTTAACTTTATATTTGAAACACATTTCAACATTCAGTATGCCTTAATTGTAACTTATTAGGTTATATTTTTGTTTACACATGGTTAAAATGTGTTTACTGTAGTGTTGTAAAGCACTTTGGTCAACTCCGGTTGTTTTTAAACTGTGCTATATAAATAAAAATGTATTGTATTGTAACCATGGAATTAAAATAGCTGAACTACAGTAAAACCATGGTTCGTTTTCATAAGGGACTGCCAGTGACAGGCTGTTGCATGCATAAAATGCAACCTTTTATTCTGACAGTGTATGATTTATATTAACATTACAGAATAGAACATGATCAATATTATCTTCTAACATTTAATTTAAATAATGTAATTGCACAAACTATGTAGGCTACCATTTCAATTGGTTTATTGTGAAATAACTCAAACATATATGTTTTTTTCTGCACTTGTTGTTCTGGGCTGCTGTTCCTAATAGCATCGATGGTTTCTTATGATACTTTAGGAAGCGCAGCCCTGTTTGAATGCGCTGTCAGAAGTGAGTGAACGCTCTCTGTGATTGATTAGTTCTGTCTTGCAACATTTGCATGTGTTCAGATGAGCAGGAAAATAGTTGTATCCTACACAATTATTCACTAACATAGGTTATTTGTCCAATTCTATCTATATTGTACACATAACATTTTTTGTTAAATAAACAAAATCACTGGTTAAAAAAAACACACCTTAATATCGATATTTTTTATTTGAGTATCGATACTTTCGACACTCGCATCAGTATCGATACGCCCATCCCTAGCCTGTGTGAATTACCTGCGTCTGTGTCTCTCTCTACAAACAATGAAGCTGGGTTTTGTTACTTCAAAAACAGCATTTTACCCCTCGTTGCTGAGAAATATAATCTAGCGATTCAGCATCGAAAAAGTCACGGACAGACTGGTTTCTGAGCTCCTGAATGTTTCTGTGTGTGCAGCACGATCTCCGATCTCTGTCAAAAAAATGCTTCAGAAAATATTTGAAAGATAATCAAATATATATTTTTATCTGAACATTTAAAAATTATTATGACCTGAAAAATGATACAGCATGCATTTAAAAAAATGGAGGGCGGGGGTTATTTGTGCAGTAGCTAATCAGAAAAATGTAAAATGGCACTTATTTACTTCAACTTAAAGATAAAACACGCCAGACATGGACTTGTCACTGCATGTGCCCCTCCCTTCATGCCCAAAAGGTTGCCGACCCCTGCATTAGATGTAAATTCACTGTGTATTTTATTAATATTTTCAGTTTTTTCACAAATAGAGAAAACTCTGCAACAAATCAATGGAAAAACTACTGTCATTTTTTTCTAAAGATTTTTTTTTTCTTTTTATTGTGTGTGCGAGCTCAGATCTTCTGCAGTCAGACTCACTGTCCTGGACGATGTCCTGCATCTTCTTCCAGACTCTGAAGCTCAGGTTGCCCAAGTAACGCGGCACATGAATCAAAGCTCCAGAAGGCGTCTGTGGATCCGGCTGTGATGAGATCTGGACTCTGGAAGAACATTAAGGATCAGAACTGCAGTGGCTTTGGATCAGAAGCAGAGACAGCAGAGACACCAGCAGATCACTCACCTTTCCATTGAGACTGGAACCTCCTGCAGAACAAACACACAGTTTATCATCAACAACTCAATCAATCAATTTCACTTCAATCGTCTCACTCGACACACATCAACACATCACATCATTCAGATCTGAGACAAACACAGATGCCGACATATAACGGATCCAGAAGCAGATCTCTGCTCATCATTTACAGAAATAATCGACTGGGGGCAGTTTCATAAAACAAGTCTACCAAATAAACCGAGGCAGGCTAACTGTCAGGCTAAGCTGAGCTCCTCTAACACTGACCAATAGGAATGCATTGATATTACGGCGCTGACTCTCTCACATACAATTATTTGACATTATCAGTCCAAAAATAAAAGTATACAGAAAATGCAATTTAAATAAAAAAAATGGTAACACTTTATAATAATGTTCAGTTGTAAGGCATTTTTAAGTGATTAGTTAATGATGAACTAATCATTTACAAAACATAACTATGTGTTACACTGCAGTACACACTACAAAGTATTCAAAACCTGTTGTGTAAACGCATGAATAAATCATTTACAAAGGTTGTGTGAGTATATACAGGTGCATCTCAATAAATTAGAATGTCGTGGAAAAGTTCATTTATTTCAGTAATTCAACTCAAATTGTGAAACTCCTGTATTAAATAAATTCAATGCACACAGACTGAAGTAGTTTAAGTCTTTGGTTCTTTTAATGTGATGATTTTGGCTTTTTAATGTGATCTCAACAAATTATAATATGGTGACATGCCAATCAAAGAAATTTATTGAGATGCACCTGTAAACTGGGGTGAAAGATCTACGAATGATGAGTAAAACATTTACAACTGATGAGTAGTTTACACTTTAGATTCAGGGATGCAGAAAGCTTTGTAAATTATTTATTCATGCGTTTACACAACAGGTTTTGAATACTTAGTAGTGTGTACTGCAGTGTAAGTGCTGACTGGTGAGGGTTAGACAGATGTCTTCTCTGACACACGTGAAGTATTTATAACGCTGTGAGCTAATAGTACAGTGTTGACATTTCAATGATTTATAAGTGATTAATAATATATTAACTAGTAACTATACTGAAAACAATGATTCATTTAATTGACTAATTTCTTTAAAATAAGTGGTTGCAACTAATTTATTTTAGCTACATTTAAATAAATTTAGTTGACTAACATTCAACATTTTTTTATGTAGCTAAAATATAATGTTTGCAACCACTTATCTAAAAAAAAAAGTAGTATCATTTGTTTCAGTGTATTAACCTTTTACTAAGGATCTGTTTGATTATTTCATGATGCTATTTTTTAAGATAACATACAAGATTTGTAAATCGTTAGCATATTACTTAAAGGGGTCATATGATGCTTTTTTAAAGATCATTATTTGGTGGATTTGGTGTAACAGAATATGTTGACATGCTTTAATGTTCAAAAAACACATTATTTTTCAAATACTGTACATTATTGAAGGTCCTCTGTGCCCCGCCTCTCTCAAACGCTCTCGTTTTCAACAAAGCCCCTCCTTTGACAAGGGCAGTCTGCTCTGATTGGCCAGCTGACCCAGTGCATTGTGATTGGCCGAACACCACAAGCACACGTCGGAAATGTAACACCCCTTACCATTATCACGAGCTTCAGCTTTCAAAGTAAATGTCAAGTTAATAATGTCGTCAGTTTTACCATCAGTTCAAGCCCGAAAGGGGAACAGAGTCACGTGACAGACACAGTGATGATGCAGTACACAAGCCGCGGTTAAGATAGCTGACGTGCTATGATTTCCATTTGTGAACGTACAGTCATGTTTTGTAAATGATTAGTTACAGTTTTTCTCGATTGCTTAAACACATTTCTTGAAATTGTGACTCCTTTTCTCAAAACTCTAAACACAAATCCATAACTTCTCAATTCCACATACTTCCTATTTTCAGGTCAAAATGAAGCTCTCCACTCAAAACTATTCAGTTTTGCTGAAAAAAACTAACTTTGCCCTCAGACATGACACACAAGCCCTCAGAAACACACACTACAACACAGTCTTACACACTAATGAGATCAATTCAGAACACTGTTGCAAAAACCTTCTTTTGGCAACCAGGTATCATTTTACAGCTCAATGTCTATTACAGTATACAACATTATTAGAGCAGATACAGTGAAATTCAACAATAAGCTTTACAGTAAGAAAATATTATTTTAATTGCACTGCTGTAAAGAGATCTTACAGTACAGTAGATGAAAAGCACTAGAAAGGAAAAGGTCAAATACCAAAGAATTGCATATGAACACAACAGAATATAGAGTCATCTCTTAGTTCTGCAAAAATACAATACATGTAAGAAGTACTTGTACAACAAATCAGTTTGAGGGTGTAGAACTTGTGCTTCAGTATTTACTGTACATATATAAGCCTGTAGATGAGCCTGTAGGCCAGCTGTCCTCAAGCACAAGAACATGATCAACTACAGCGCTGTGTATTTCATCAGGAATAAATGTCCTTTGACCCCATCCCCTTCATTTTTCTTTTCCCTCCTCTTCCTCTTTGTCTCCAACTAGTAGGATTCATTTTCCAAATCACATAATCAGCTGTGCTCTTGTTCATATCATCCTGAGATTCTGACTGCTGTGTCGTCAGTTTTGCTACTGAATGTTCACACGGATAAATGAGTGTTATTTGTGTTCATATTGTGATTCTTGAGTTAATTATATTGTGTGTTTGTGTTTTCTGAATGAGAACATGGTTAAACCTGTGCAGAATGATGCCGTTCTTGTGTAGAGTTTAGCTGAAAACACTGAGCAAATTGGAGCGTGTGTGAAAACAGGTGAAATGTGTTAAAAGTTTTGAGAAATGTGTCTTTGTTTCCGTCATCTAATCACTTGTAAATTATTTATAACTTAATCTACAAAACATAGATAAAAACATATCACTTATTAATCATTTATGAATGCTTAGTCATGTTTAGTAAACAGAGGCGGACAGTAACTAAGTACATTTACTTGAGTATTG